GAATTAAATACTGTAATGCATTTAAGGAAATGTCTGGTTAATTTGTATATATTTGTTGACTGTATTAAATCTTTGATTATTCATTTTTGCCCTCTTTATTTACAGGCCTACCGTATCGTCGGTATCGGCACACCACAACCGACTTGCTCCCTTTACACTATCCTAAGCTTATGCTGGATCCTTACTCCATATACGGCTATTTTGCCCCTTACACAAGTATTAAGGCAGTTTTGCCTGTATTTGTGGGAGGGGCTTAAATTAATTCACTCCCCTATATAAGGGACACCCCTTACCTGACTCATATCGTTTGAGGTCAGCATCAGAATGACCCTCCCACCCACTCCTCATTTCAACACTTTCTCTTTTCTTTCCATTTACTTTACTTTCTTACTCCTTGGTGGGCTCTCTTTATTTACAGGCCTACCGTATCGTCGGTATCGGCACACCACAACCGACTTGCTCCCTTTACACTATCCTAAGCTTATGCTGGATCCTTACTCCATATACGGCTATTTTGCCCCTTACACAAATATATATATATTATATATTTTTGTACCTGTTTTATTTCTTAAAGGACCACTATAGTGCCAGGAAAACATACTTTTCGAGCGAGCAACTATACTATAGTTAAAGATAGCACTTATTTGCTGTAATGATAATCAATCGTATGGTCAAATTCTGATCTTTTTCTACAACCAAATCATAAACTTATCAAAACATAGAGTAGACATGTAAATTAAAAAGGAGAGGAAAACTTAGCCCTGCGTTTGTTGTGCATATGTATACCATGCCTCCCAACATTTCAACTGGACAAGATGGACACTTGCATTTTTTGGGTGTGATTGGTATGCACAGCAATTGCCATGTTACACCAATCAGAATTTCCTCATATGGATATATTAGATTCATGCAGCTCTGTGGGGAGCATTCAGCATCTTTATGCAGTGGGTATAGGACTGGATGTCTATCTAGCAAAGCTTGCAGCTGCACCAGGAACTGCCTCAGAATTACAGCCAATAGAGATGGCATTAGGCTGTAATGTAAACATTGGCATTGTCTGTATTGCTCAGACTGTAGGTGCTTAGTGCTTAGAGCAAGCATGTCAAACTCGCGGGCCGCATGTGGCCCACAATGAATATTTTTGCAGCCCGGCAAGCCGCAAGTTTGAGACATGCTTATTAAAGCAGAGTAGTATTCCTGCTCCTCACTGCTCCCTCGCGCGCGCCCTCTGTAGTGATGCCGGGTGCCGGAATATGACATCACACCGGCACCCTGCATCACTAAACTGCGTGCATGAGGGAGCAGGAAGACTGAGCACCCAAGAGAAGATCAGGGAGAGGCCCACACCTGCTCCCAAAGGTAGGGAGCAATAAATAAAATGATGTGAGTGTGTGCAAGAATGTGTAAATGTGTGTGTGTCTGTCAGTCAGTGTGTGTGTGTGTGTGTCTGTCAGTGTGTGTGTGTGTCTGTCAGAGAGTGTGTGTCTGTCAGAGAGTGTGTGTCTGTCAGTGAGTGTGTGTCTGTCAGTGTGTGTTGGTCAGTGTTTCGATGGTCGCGGCTGGACAGTGGAGAAACTGGAAGTGCACAAAGGTACGCAACGCCACATCACATTCCGACGGTCACGTCACATTCCAACGTGACGTCCACGTGCTCCACCTTCACAGCAGTAGCAGGAGGGTCCGTTTGGCACAGGATGTGGAGAGCCCCATTGGGGGTATACCGGAGTCGCATTCTGGCAGCGGCAATGTGAGTGGAGTCTGCTTGTTGGCTAATATAGTTTTTGTAAACAAGGGCTGGGGTTTCTATGAAAATTTAAGGTTTTGTTTTTTTTGCTGCACGCATAAACTTAAACCTAGTTTATGTGGCCTGTGCTAGATTTTGAGTTTGACATGCTTGGTTTAGAGTGTCCCTTTAAGGTCAATATTATGCCTTATTTTACTGGACATTAAATACTTCTTTATGCTAAACCATGGTATATGTAAATTGATGTGTAGCGAATATGGACTTCATATATTACAGCTATCAGAGCAGGGCCGCCATCAGGGGGTGACAACCGTGACAGTTGTCACGGGCCCGGCGGCCCTGGGGGGCCCGGACTGCTCTGGCAGTTCTGGGCCCCACTTTGTTTCTCTGCACACATAGATAGCGAATCTCGCTATCTATGTGTGCAGCCGCGGGCCCCCCGGCTCCCTGTTACCGCAGAGGGGGCCCAGGCAGCACAGGAGCAGCTTCTCCTCCTCTCTTCTCTCTTCTAATAACTCTCGCGAGACCCGGTTACCATGGCAACGCTCCACGGGTCTTGCGAGAGTTATTAGAAGAGAGGAGAGAGGAGGAGAAGCTGTGTGCTGCCTGGGCCCCCTCTGCGGACGGTAACAGGGAGCCGGGGGGGCCCCCACCGGACCACCACAGATGGAATCTCCCCCCTCCCTGGATACAGGTAAGCAGGGAGGGGGGAGAAACATTTAATTAAATTAATTCAAAATTAGTGTTAAAATGCCCCTTCCTCCCCCTCCCCCCCCAGATCACACATTTACACAACACACACTGCATACACTAACACACACATACACTGCATACACTAACACACACATACACTGCATACACTAACACAACACACACTGCATACACTATAACACACACATACACTGCATTCACTAACAACACACACTGCATACACTAACACACACACTGCATTCACTAACACAACACACACACTGCATACACTAACACAACACACACTGCATACACTAACACAACACACACTGCATTCACTAACACAACACACACTGCATTCACTAACACAACACACACACTGCATACACTAACACAGCACACACTGCATACACTAACACAACACACTGCATACACTAACACAACACACACTGCATACACTAACACAACACACACACTGCATACACTAAAACAACACACACACTGCATACACTAACACAACACACACTACATACACTAACACAACACACACTGCATACACTAACACAACACACACGCACTGCATACACTACACAACACACACACACACACATGCTGCATACACTAACACAACACACACACTGCATCCGCTACACACTAACACACACTCTGCATCCGCTACACACTAACACACTCACTGCATCCACTATACTGACACACACTCTGCATTCGCTACACATTAATACACTCTGCATTCACTACACTAACACACACTCTCCGTCCGCTACACACTAACACACACTCTGCATACACACTAACACACACACTGCATCACTAACACAACACACACGCATGATCACTACACACACCAACACACACATGCTCATACACTAACACACACACACTCCGCTATCCACACTCTACCCACACTAACACACCACCACACTGCATTCACTACACTAACACACACTCTGCATCCGCTACACACTAACACACACTCTGCATCCGCTACACACTAACACACTCTGCATTCACTACACTAACACACACACACTCTGCATCCGCTACACACTAACACAATCTCTGCATTCACTACACTAACACACACTCTGCATCCGCTACACACTAACACACTCTCTGCATTCACTACACATTAACACACACTCTGCATCCGCTACACACTAACACACTCTCTGCATTCACTACACATTAACACATTCTGCATTCACTACACTAACACACACTCTGCATTCACTACACATTAACACACACTCTGCATTCACTAAAAATTTACACACACTCTGCATTCACTGCACTAACACACACACTACATTCATTACACTGACACACTCTGCATTCACTACACACTAAGACACACTCTGCATTCACTAAACTATGCATACACTATGGATTCACTATACTGACACACAATCTGCATTCACTACACTAACATACACTCTGCATTAACTGTACACACAGCATCCACTACACAAACATCCTGTATTCACAGTACACACACTACATCCACCACACATTGAAACACTCTGCATTCACTATACACAGACACTGCGTCTAATACACGACACTGCATCCACTAAACACATTTCATCTAGTACATACAAACACTACATCCACTACACAAACACACACTACATCACTGTACACACACTATATCCACTACTCAAACACACTCTGCGTTCACTATACACACTGCATCCGCTACACAAACACACACTCTGCATTCACTGTACAAACAGTATCTAATACACACAAACACTACATCCATTACACATATTCTAATTCACTTCCACTATACACACCACATTCAGTCCTGCATCATTGTCAGCGGACCAGGTAGGGCGTGTGCGGGCCCGGGAGGGAGGGGCCCAAAACTGGTGCTTTGTCAGGGGCCCCAAAATTTCTGATGGCGGCCCTGTATCAGAGTATTGTGATTAATAAATGAATTACTATGTAATGTTATGATACTTTACTTATGATATGATATTATATTAATGTACTATATGGTACAGGTTTGCAGTGGCATGGAACCATTTCACATCTAGTTTTGTCAGCGGTTTTAAACAACTAATTCGTTCTAATTAAACACAGATGAATGAACCTTTTGTAACTCTTCTTAAAACATAATATAGACAGACTCAGGCTACTTGTATTGTACATAAAGCATAGCCTTGATATCAAGGCTGCTATGGATCATATAATGCAGTCTGCTCCTCCAAAGACCTTCATTGTTGTTGCTCTGAATAAAGGCAATGAGAGGTCAATAGCACAGCAGATATAGTTTCAGATACCTTGTGCTACATACCAAAGCTCAGACATGCCTACAATGTTACATATCAAAGGACATTCCATGTATGTATTGTTTGTGACTTTGTGTGCTACCTGTGCTACAATTATTATTAATAGTAGCAGCTGCTGATAAACAACATACACTGGGCTCTGACAGTAAAACAGAACATCTCATATATGAATATTCTTAAATCACAAGGCATTTTCTTCATACATGGATTACATTGGAAGGTGTATGTCACTTTTTATATTATTTTGTAATGTGTATGTATATGGGGCAGCTTGCTTTTCTTCTCATTATAGCAAGTAAATTCTAATTAGTGTATGGCTTTGGTAACATAAGTTGTCGTGGTTTAATTCATCACTGAGAATCTTAGATGATTCAGTTAGTGGATGGTATTTGTTAAAGTGATTTGAGCTTATGTCTAAGTGCAATGAGGTGTGAAATGATTATACAAGCCGCAAAATATCTTAAATCTAAAGGAATTTTTTAACAAGCCGCTCATAGGCATCTGATGGTGAACACATTGACAACATTTATTATGTACTGGACATTAAGGATAAGGGGGAAATAGCACCATTTAATTGTTAGTCCTGAGTTCCATGTAATACTGAGAGAAAAATAATGTATCAAGTCACCTGTGACAGTGCCCATTTAATAAAGCATAGTTAAGGTAAATTACACAGCACGGTATGGGGGTATTGCTGTGGGTGCAGGTTAGTTAACGCAGCATTACTTGGGTTTAGGTGTGGAGTTTATAAGTATAGGTTTATATAACCAGAATTAATGTAAATAGTTGGTGTCACATTGTGATTCGTAGAATGTGTTAGTGTTCATTGCTGGACTTTTGGCATGGTATAGGGTTGGTTCTAGGGGGTATTTCATTCTATATATGTTGAAGGAATAATAGTATTGACCCTTTGGCTGCAATCCCTGGTCTTTTTGACATCTAGCAACACCTATGCAGGTTACTAATATTTATTTATACATGCTCCCCACATTTAGCAGTAGTTATTTCGGTAGATGTATCTATTGCTCATTAACCATGGTTATATAGTTACATAGTTGTCTGGGATGAAAAAAAGATTAAAATCGTTCAAGTTCACGCCCTGAAGCCCATTCTTTTATGCTTTTGATCCACAAGAATTAAAAAAATAAAAAATAATAATAATTGTAGTCATTTCCAAATAATCATTCTTGACTCCATAATAGCAATCGGATTTCTCCTTGGATCAACAACCTGTATACATACATATCAGACCTGTTTACATACATATCAATTACACTGAACAAAATTATAAACGCCACACTTTTGTTTTTGCCCCCATTTTTCATGAGCTGAACTCAAAGATCTAAGACTTTTTCTGTGTACACAAAAGGTCTATTTCTCTCAAATATTGTTCACAAATCTGTTAGTGAGCAGAGATAATCCATCCACCTCACACGTGTGGCATATCAAGTTGCTGATTAGACGCCATGATTATTGCACAGGTGTGCCTTAGGTTGGCCACAATAAAAGGCCACTCTAAAATGTGCAGTTTTATCAGACAGCACAATTCCACAGATGTCGCAAGTTTTGAGGGAGAGTGCAATTGGCATGCTGACTGCAGGAATGTCCACCAGATTTGTTGCCCGTGAATGGAATGTTCATTTCTCTACCATAAGCCATCTCCAAAGGTGTTTCAGAGAATTTGGCAGTACATCCAACAGCCCTCACAACCACAGACCACGTGTAACCACACCTGCCCAGGACCTCCACATCCAGCATCTTCACTTCCAAGATCGTCTGAGACTAGCCACCCAGACAGCTGCTGCAACAATCGTTTTGCATAACCAAAGAATTGCTGCACAAACTGTCAGAAACTGTCTCAGGGAAGCTCACCTGCATGCTCGTCGTTCTCATCAGGTCTCGACCTGACTGCAATTCGTCGGTGTAACCGACTTGCGTGGGCAAATGCTCACATTCGATGGCATCTGCCATTTTGGAGAGGTGTTCTTTTCATGGATGAATCCTGGTTTTCACTTTACAGGGCAGATGGCAGACAGCATGTATGGTGTTGTGAGGGTGAGCGGTTTGCTGATGTCAATGTTGTGGATCGAGTGGCACATGGTGGCGGTGGGGTTATGGTATAGGCAGGCCTATGTTATTATTATTATTATTGCCATTTATATAGCGCCAACAGATTCCGTAGTGCTTTACAATGTTATGAGAGGGGGATTTAACTATAAATAGGACAATTACAAAAAAAATTCAGGAACGATAGGTTGGAGAGGACCCTGCTCAAACGAGCTTACATTCTATAGGAGGTGGGGTGTAAAACACAATAGGACAGGAATTTGCAGTCAAATAAGGTGGGTTGCTCTTTATGAGAGAGCAAGAGACAGGTATGTGAGGTAGAGGTTAATCTGGGAGGCCATTAGCTTTTCTTAAAGGATGCAAGACTAGGGGAGAGTCTGATGGCGGTAGGCCGGCTATTCCATAGGAGCGAGAAGTCCTGCAAGCGTGAGTTGGCCGGACGGGTGCGGACAACGGACAAGAGGTGATCATGGGCAGAGCGGAGAGACCAAGAAGGGACATACCTATGGATCTGTGAAGAGATATAAGAGGGGCTAGAGTTGTTCAGTGCTTTATAGGTGTGAATTAGTACCTTGAATTGACTCCTATAGCATACAGGAAGCCAATGTAAGGCCTGACAGAGGGGTGAGGTGTGAGAGAACCGACTAGAGAGGAAAATCAGTCTGGCAGCAGTGTTCATTATGGACTGTAGCGGTGCAGTACGTCTTTTGGTAAACACCAATCAGGAGAGGGTTGCAATAATCCATGCAGGAAATTAGTAGAGCAGGGACAAGCTTCTTGGTAGCATCTTGCGTAAGAAAGGGGCGGATGCGGGCTATGTTTTTAAGATAGAATCTACAGGATTTGGCAACATATTGGATGTAAGGCTCAAAGGTGAGGCCAGAATCAAGTATGACTTCAAGACAGTGCGCTTGCAAGGATGGACTGATGTGGGTACCACAAACTTGAAGGGAGAGCGAAAGAGGAGGGTCAGTATTAGAAGGAAAGACAAAGAGCTCAGTTTTAGAGATGGAGTTTCAGAAAGCGGGAGGACATCCAGTCAGAGATGGAAGAAAGGCAAGCAGTGACACGTTGCAGGACGGCAGTGGAGAGGTCCGGGGAGGAGAGATATGTCTGGGTGTCATCAGCGTACAGGTGGTAGTGGAATCCAAAAGAGGTAATAAGCTTGTCAAGAGAGTCAGTATAAAGAGAAAATCGAAGGGAACCAAGTACAGAGCCTTGGGGGACTCCAACCGAGACAGGACGAGGACAACGAACACAGGTGCATTTTATTGATGGCATTTTCTTTTTTTTTTTGCAATTCTTTATTTTTGCGTGCAAGGTTAGTTACATAACTACCCGTATGGCCACAACAGCCTTCTGGGTTTTCAAAACGTTACATGACATCACAACGTATTTTAGGCATACAAAACAGTCAGTCGTTTCTAGTCTGTGGTGTCAGCTAGTTCTGCACATTTTTAAAATAATTTGTGGATCAGTTGGTGTCGAACTGAGGCAACATTGGAGTAATAATAGCCCAAGGGTTGTCTGTTTGGGGTTGGTTGCGTGTTCGTGCCCTCTTATGTTCTCGGAAGGGGTTATTTGTGTGTACGAATGGTTGTCCTCAGTGATGTGTGTGTCCACAGGTGAGTGCTATGAAGTCCGCGTATGTCAGCGTGTGTCTGTTTGTGTATACATGTATATAGGGGTTGTCGCTCTTTGAGCCTATGTGTGCCTCAGCGATCGTCCAGTGGGTTGGGAATTGACTCCTTACCGAGGGGGTCACGGAGGGGGTGGGAGGAGGTGTGTTCTCCCTGGAGCTTTTTCAGGGTAGGTCTTGTCTGATGTTATGTCGGCAGCAGTTATAGTGTAGCGTATAGTTAGTCGTATAGGTGCATATGTTACAGTAAAACATTGAGATAATTAAACAGTGAAAACAACATAAGAAACTAAAGGTAAAACAGAAGGCGAGGCCGGAACCGGTTAACGCATTGTATGCGTGTTGGCTACTATTTTTACAGTTCAGGTCGGTTCTCTCCGGTGTTCTCTATTCCTGGGGATGAATGGAGTCGTTCTGTCAGGGTCCCAGGTGTGCGAAGATGTGGGGTTTTCCTGTGCTGCGGATCCGGCATGAATCCCCACTGCGCGTAGGAACTGTTCTGCCTCCAGTAGTGAGGATAGGTTGTGTGCGGTACCGTTTTTGGTAACAGTCAGAGTCCTCGGTAGAGTCCATTTGTACTCAATTTTAGCTTCACGCAGACTGCTTGTCACTCGTGCCAGGGACCTGCGCCACAACAGCGTGTTTCTTGTTAAGTCCTGATAGAAGGTAATGTGGGATGATTCAAATGCAAGTGGTGTCCTTCCTCGGACTGCTGTTAGAATCTTGATTTTGTCTGCTACTGAGTGACACCGGATGATGACATCTTGTGGAGCTGCGGCTGGAGCTTGTCTTGCTTTTTTGATCCTAAAGAAGCCATCTAGTGTGAATTTTTTGGCTTGGGCGTGCGGTAGGAGCGTGGCTATGAGACGTCTGAGGTAGTGGGTTAGTTCTGTGGACTCCACGCTATCCGGTATCCCCCTCAGTTTTAAGTTAGTGCGTCTGTTGCGGTCCTCTGCTAGGTCCATTCTCGTAGTGAGGTTGGATTGGGATGTCTGCATGAGTATTATTTGTTCTTTTAGCCCCTGTACCTCTTGTTTCAAGTCAAGGGTGTCCTCTTCAGTGGCTTGAGTGCGTGTAATTATTGCCTGCATTTCGGTCCTTAGCAAGTCCATGTCTGCTGCGTGCATTTGTCTCATTTCTTTCAGCAGGTCGGCTATGTCTTGTTTGGTAGCCGGTGTGAGGTTAGTGCTGTTAGTTTGTGGATCCCTTATTGGATGAGCGGTTAATAGTTCTTGTTCGGCTCCGGATTGCTCTCCTTCATCTTGGGAGGCAGTTGTGCGATCTGGCGAGGCCGCCATCTTGGGCGCCATTGGTCTTTGCAGCAGGTCGCCTATGTCTTGTGTGGTCCTGCTTGTATTATGTGTGGGTCTCTGGGATTTTCTGCCCATGTTGTGGTCGTTAGGCACAGCTGACCCAATCTGCAGGTCGGCGTCCTGGTGCACTCTCAGGGCTGTAAGTTCCTGTGCTAGCCTCGTGGCTTGGTAGGCAGAGTAGGCCCCGGTTTTCCGTCGGGTCTTTCTGCTCGTTTGCGGGTACAAAAAAGGCATCAGCTTGCTGCTCTCTTACTGGGGTTTCCCCGGGAGCTGGTTGAGTGCCGTTATGAGTGCAGCAGGGCTTCGTTTTAAGGCCTTTTAGGCGTCGTTTGGCCGGAGCTCGGAGGTTATCTATTGATGGCATTTTCAATGCACAGAGATACCGTGATGAGATCCTGAGGCCCATTGTTGTGCCATTCATCCACGACCATCACCTCATGTTGCAGCATGAAAATGCATGGCCCCATGTTGCAAGGATCTGTACACAATTCCTGGAAGCTGAAAACATCCCAATTATTGTATGGCCAGCATGCTCACCAGACATGTAACCCATTGAGCATGTTTGGGATGCTCTGGATCGGCGTATACAACAGCGTGTTCCAGGTCCTGCCAATACCCAGCAACTTCGCACAGCCATTGAAGAGGAGTGGACCAACATTCCACAGGCCACAATCAACAACTTGATCAACTCTATGCGAAGGAGATGTGTTGCACTGCGTGAGGCAAAGGGTGGTTACACCAGATACTGACTGGTTTTCGGACCCCCAGTACAGTAAAACTGCACCTTTTAGTGTGGCCTTTTATTGTGCCCAGCCTAAGGCATACCTGTGCTATAATCATGCTGTCTAATCAGCATCTTGATATGCCACACCTGTGAGGTATGCCACACCTGTGAGGTGGATGGATTATCTCGGCAAAGAGAAGTGCTCAATAACACAGATTTAGACAGATTTGTGAACAATATTTGAGAGAAATAGGCCTTTTGTGTACATAGAAAAAGTCTTAGATCTTTAAGTTCAGCTCATGGAGGCAAAAACAAAAGTGTTGTGTTTATAATTTTGTTTAGTGTATATTCTTGTATATACGTTTTATGAAAAAAAAAACATCCAAGCCTTTTCATATTTATATAAAGAATCTGATGACACAACCTGTTAAGGCAGATAATTCCATTTTTTTTTTGCTCTTACTGTAAAGATCCCTTTCCTCTGCTGTAAGCAAAAATGTCTCTCTCCCAGTCTAAATGAATGACCTTATGTCTGTTGTACATTCGTGCTAATGAACATGTTAGCACATAGCAGTTTGTACTGACCCAGTATATATTTGTATATTTCTATCATATCCCCTCTGAGGTACCTTTTTTTTTTTTTTTAAAGAAAACAATTCCAGTTTTTTGAGTTTCCTTATAACTAATGTTTTCCACCCCCATTACTAGTTTTGTAGTTAGCCTCTGCACTTTTTCTACTTCTGCAATATCCTTCTCTAAAACTGGTGCCCAATATTGCACCACATATACAAGGTGGGGTCTTACCAATGATTTCTATAATCTTAATTGAAAAATGTTATCATTTTTAATAACATATAGAACATAAGACAATACATTGAACATTTAGACATAATAACTTGCATATTCTTATGGTGCATATTCCTATCTAGATTTATATGCTTCTCAATATATCTATCTATCTATCTATCTATCTATATATATATATAAACATAGAAACATAGAATGTGATGGCAGATAAAAACCATTTGGCCCATTTAGTCTGCCCAATATTTCTAAATACTTTCATTAGTCCCTAGCCTTATCTTATAGTTAGGATAGCCTTATGCCTATCCCATGCATACTTAAACTCCTTTACTGTGTTATACATGGATACTAGGTCAGTTATGCATCCATTTTCAATATATAGTTTCAAACAAAAGAAAAACCTACACTTTACATCACAATACATAACATAACAGCAGATATAACATACCAAGGGGGGGTGGGGGGGGAGAAGGGGGTTACCTTTTTTTTCTCATCATGTCCAGGAATTGGACTTAATATACAGCATCCTAAAAAAATTTAAAACAGACATAAAAAACAATATGTTATGTTACCCTTTTTATTCCCTAAGATGCTACTGTTGTTCTATCAACTAAATGTGGTTGGAGTAATATTTAACGTTTCAAGGCAGATATCCCAAGGCAATGTTTTTCTGTATTTTTTTAATGCTTGGTTTACTAAACAGTTGTTCCATCTTGACCTGAAATTCAAATAGTTTTTTGACTAATAGCCAAGGTATATATTTTTTCATTTTTCCAATGTTTTGAAATCACTAATTTTGTTGCCAAAAATAGTTGTGTTATAATCAATTTGTTCACAGAGCACATAGGAGGCCAATTAAAATCTCACTTCTGGAGATTTATTTTGTAATTTAGATTTGTAAGGATAAACTGATAGGTTCTACCCCATAAATCTTTAATCATAGCACACTCCCAGCATACATGTAGGTATCTGCATGTTATTGCTCAACATCTCCAGCAAAGAGAATCCTCATTGGGAACATTTTGTTAATTCTGTCTGGAACTAAGTGCCACCTATTTCATACTTTAAAATAAATTCTATTAGATTCAAAGAGTGGGTATTTTTGGTCACACTTTTCAATAAGGAACCCCATTTTTTAATATCTATTTTTATATCTAATTATTTCCCCCATATTCCTATCTACTTATAGATAGGGCTTTTGATAGAGGTTTCTCTATCGAAAAATAGTTAAATAGGTTTTTAACATTATTTATATTCAGTGAATTACATGTAATTAGATGAGATGTTAAGAAACTTTTTACTCTTAGGAAATTAAATAATTCTTTAGATGGTACGTTAAATTTGAACTCTAATTGTGGAATAGTCTTTAATACTCCGTATATAAGTAAATGGGAAATCATGTTAATGCCTGCTTGTATCCACCTTTTTAAATTTAAATTGTTGCTCAATAAATTTCAGGTCAAAATAGATTGGAATTTTTTGTATTAATTTTAAGAGATATTTAGATTTTTTCCCCCCATTTCTTCATCAACTGCGCTAGTATTGAATTGGGATATATCTTTTTCTTTTTATACTTTGTATCCCATATAAAATGATTAAAATTTTCCAAATCTCCTGCTTCCATCTTATACCATCCCTCATTAGTATTGTTGGTTAACTGCATTCTGTATATATGTAGTATTATAGAGGTAAAATAATTATTATTTATGACTGGATATCTTATACCTCCCTTTTCCATCTTTTGAGCTGAAATCTTTTGACTTAATCTTGTTTTTTTGCCTTTCCATATATTTTGCGTGAAACTATATTGGATCATATCGAGCCAACTGTTGGGAATGTCAAGTGGCAGTATCTGAAACATATAGTTCCATTTTGGAATAACATATGCATTCACCACATTAATCCTTCCCCAAAAGGTAATCTTCAAATGTTTACGTTCTTTCAGCCATCTATTTGTATCAACCATTGATTTCTAAAGATTTCTATTTATTATATTTAGATCACATGAATCAAAACCATTGTTATACATGAAAGCATATTTTGCAATAGCAGACCTAAATTGCATACTGTTGCCTAGTTTGTGATCTATAATTGTTCCCAAGTCTTTTTCATTTAAAGTTATCTCTAACTCTACTACATTTAATGTATAAGTGGCTTGTGGGTTCATTATTCCAATATGCATGACATTACATTCGTCTGTATTGAATCCAATCTGCCACTTGTTTGCCAAGTCCTCCAATTCATCCAAATCTATCTGAAGAGAAGTTATATCATGTTCAGAGTGAATTTTCTTACCTATAATAGTTTTGTGTCACTGGCCAACACAGACAAATGACTTTCAATGCCAAGTTGAAGATCATTTATAAATAGATTAAAGAGAAGTGGACCCAGGACAGAACCCTGAGACACTCAACTTAACAGTTTTGTTTGATTTGAACATTTTCCATTTACAACTACGCTCTGCACTCTATCTTTAAGCCAGTGTTCTATCCATGAACACACTTTTTCATTTAAACTAACTAATTTCAGTTTTAATAGTAACCTTATGCCTGGAACTGTATCAAATCCCTTAACAAAATCCAAATAGATCACATCTACTGTATCATCCTGATCTATATTTCTACTAACTTCTTTGTAGAATGGAATTAGGTTAGCTTGGCATGACCTGTCTTTCAAAAACCCATATTGATTCCTGCTACTGATATTTGTTAAAAAATTAATTCTTGAATATTATCCTTTAACAGCCCATTCAAAAAATTTCCCTTCCACAGATGTTAAGCTCCCGGGTCTGTAGTTTCTGGGTTAAGCTTTTAAATGTAGGCACCACATCTGCTTTTCTTCAATCATTTGTACAATTCTTGAAAAAGTTAAAACATTGTTATAGATATTTTTACACTAAGCTTTCTAAGCACGTGTAGGTGAACACAATCTAGCCCTGGGGCTTTGTGTACAGTAACTTTGTTTAATTTCTGAAGCACTTTATCCTGTGTTAACCAATCACCTGTTTGCTGTAAGACTTTAGTAACAGGGATTTACCATAGATTCTTCTTACCTATGAAGAAAAATTATTATTTCATCTCTGCCTTGTCCTGATCCTCCTTGATTAACTAAACCATCTCACTTTCCAATGGACCAACACTTTCACTATTAACCTTTTTGATATTAACATACAATACTTTTTGAACTTTTTAGGATTGGTCTTGCTTGCTTTGGCTATGGGCTTTTCATTTTCAAGTTTAGTTCATCTTCTTGCTATTTTTCAATCCCTATTGGCATGCTTATATTTGTTATAAGATGCAAGTGACCCCTCTGATTTAAATGTTTGGAAGGCCTTTCTCTTACCTTTTATCATTTGGCTGACCCTTGTGCTAAGCTACATTGGTTTTAATGTGTTGTGTTTCCTTTATATTTGTTTCCCAATGGTATGTATTGAGAAATTTACTTTTGCGGAATTTGTTTTAAGATCTTCCATTTATCATCTGTGCTCATTTTGTTAATATTACCTGCCAGTCAATTTGAATCTAAGTTTGCCTTCTTAAAACGAAATATTTTTTTATACAGCTGTATAAATGACAAATGAAAGACATAAAATTATCATTTATCAGGTTCAAAAGCCTGTTTCCCTTAACCGTACAACAAGTCCATTTGGCCCAATCAATGTCTGGATAATTAAAATCGCCCATGATTAACAAATTACCCAGTTGTGCAGCCATATTAATTTGCGATAGCAGTTGCTCTTCCCCACCAGTATTAATATTCGGGAGCTTGTAACATAGTCCTACAATTAATGGATACCCCCTTTTACCATGTTCAATCAGGCATTTACAATTTAACGGTTAATGAATGTCTGTTATATAACCCCCAACGTATCCAGATTAATTCCTAATTACCACAATAACTTTTTTTTTCAGGTGACCTGTATACATTGATCTGTAGGCAGAGGAACATAATCTGAATATATTTTTGCTCAGCTGGGTGAACACCAGTTTTGGAGGTGAGGAGAAAATAAGGGCGTATGTTACACTTATGAAAAGAAAACAAAAACAGTGAAGAGGTTACATTTGCCACCACATGTATTTTTTTTTCATAGAAGGATCTAAACTTAAAAGTAATGCTTAATAGAAGGTGAACCAGCTGCAAGACAACCAGAGAATCTGTAACAAAGAAGATATTATATTCCACTAAGAGACAGAACTTGAAGTTAGCTTGAGCTGATGGTTGATGGCAAAAGATAACATTCACGGTCCAGTCCACAAGCAATGTACCAACAGGGTAAAAAAAGTCATATTGTTCTAACAAGAAAACACCAGTCACAGGAAGCCTTACGTCATATGAAACATGCTGAGACATGGACAGAGAAATCTTTGTATGAAAACAGAACTCTGACAGGTGTGAGCAATCTCTGATTACAAAGCACCTGCTCATGTATCGTCGTGTGTTGAATATTTCTCCCAAAATGTGATGTGCATACCTGTAATTACTTTTATTGTTTTCTTCTAATCCTCCTGTACTGATAGAAATAACAAAGAGCTGATGTCCGTCCAATAGAAACTGTGTTGCTTTTATTTTATTTAGCTTCTACCAGGAACATTTTAAAAGATTTACAATCTGCTCACAATATCTCGAGTAACACCAGGATGTGTATCTGACAACTTCAACTGCAGAAATAATTAGATTATATCATCTGAGTTTTCTAATAGTAAAGGCTTTTGAATATGGCTGGAGAAAAATAAATCTGTTACATCTGCAATAGAAAGCGGTGATCACTTATTTATACAGTAACATACCATTTAATAAAAAATGCCATTTACGTCATAATTTAAACTGTTCCCCATTTTCAATGATCTGTCTCTTATTTGCTTTAAGGAGAAAATATTATAAAATATTCTGATCAGGTCAGACTGTCCAAGGCTATAAACTGAACAATGCTAATACTAAAGTACAAAACAAGGTATCTCTAAACATGTTCTATGTATCACTGGTACATTCAGTACTAGACAATTGTGTATGGCCCACATGCAGGGAAAATAATTTCCAGCAATTTCATTTTTCTTTGTGATCAAATTGAAGGCCATTGGTGAGCTACATACAATACCATATACGAAAACAATGCTGCAATATAGTCTGGCCTTACACCATAATACAGAGTTAATCATGGGAAATAATTGCTCAAAAATACTTACAATGAATGAAGGTATTCTGGATTAAAAATATAGACCCTAAGGATTTTTATTTTATTACTTTTTTAATTTTAATTTTCATTGTGGTGAACTTTTTAGGGGGATTGTTTTTTGGGTGGAGGATAACCTCTGTTTTACTTATCCCAGTAAGCAATCGGGTGAGAGTGCAGTGTATCAAATAGAAAAAAATAAGGAGCAAGAGGAGAATTGAGTTTAAATACCCCTCCTGTGGATCTGATTGGTCATGACCGGCTTTTGACCCTAAAAGTAATTACCAGGTTTCCATGTGCATGATTGCTGCTCAGCACAAACCCTTCTGTGGATTTGATTGGCCATGACCGGCCTTTGACCCAAAAAGTAATTACCAGGTTACCATGTGCATGATTGCTGCTTGGCACAACTCTTGCTGTCAGGACAGTAAATCCATTAACCACATTTTTATGTGCATATGAATATGTGACATTACCCAACTCACAAAGTTTGCACTACTGTACTTGTAAGTGTCATTAGGCAAGACTCCTATTGATATATGTATCTGTCTTCCTCATAGAATGTAAGCTTGAGCAGGCTTTCTTCACTAGACATGTGCAATTCGTTTCGGTCTGAATTAAAATTCGTACGAATTTCAGCAATTTGGACATTCGGATGCTTCCAAATGTCTGAATGTCCGAATTTCTGAAGTGCCAAACCGAACTGAATTGCCGAAGTGCCGAATTTTGGAAGTCCCGATTTTCGGAAGTGAAGAATTTTGGAAGTCCCGAAGTGCTTCGGATTCCTGAAGAGTGGCAAAACAGGAGAGGGAGGGAAGATTAAGGGAATGATGACATGAATCTAAACCTACCCCTAGCCCTTACCCCAACCCCAACCCCTGCCCCTAACCCTAGTAGAGATAGGGTTAGGGTTAGGTTAGAGGTGGGGTTAGGGAATTGCCGAAGTGCCGAAGTGCCGAAGTCCCGAATTTCGGAAGTGCCGAACCAAACTTTTTGCCCATGCACATCCCTATTCTTCACCTCTAAATATCTCTCTTTATAATTGTAACATGCTGTGAAATATATGTATCTGTCTTCCTCATAGAATGTAAGCTTAAAGCGGCACTGTCATGCCGAATTCTGTTTTTTTTTTAACCCCCCTCCCGCCTCCACTACATCCAATTGACCCACTAGTCACCCCTAAATGCCCCTAAGCCCCCCACATTACCTATTTTTAAATCTTTATTTTCTGCCCCGATCTATATTCAGGGCGCCGCCATCTTTGTGTGGGTAGGTGAAGTCCCTGTGGGACACGTCATCAGCCCACACTAGACAGACTGTGAGATTCCCGCACATGCCCAGTGAAACACCTGGACATGCGAACGGGAATTTCATCTATTCATTCATTCATCAGACAGACGAATGAGTGAATAGAAATATCAGCCGAACAAACAAACACAATGTATCAGTGTTAGTTTGTTCGTGCAGTTTATTACAAGGAGGGAGCTACCGGCACGCAGCTCCCTCCTTGTAATATGTAACTATAGAAGCGGCAGGGAGCAGTGCTCCCCACCACTTCATAAGCCCCCCCAGGTCCCCCTCTCACTCTATGGGGGTCAATATGACCCCCATAATAGCACAAGGGAGATAAAAATCTCCAAAATGCCCCTACTCGCTATACCGCGAGTAGGGGCATGTCCACTAAACAGTGAGCAGCCTGTGGCTGCTCACTGTAAAAAAACAACAACAAAAAAAAAACAACTATTGGCCCCCACCCCTAAACAGTGAGAATGAGGGGGGGGGGCAGTTATGGGGGCCATAATGAGAATGGGGGGGGGACCTACTGTCCTACCCCCCGCCCCCACCCCTGGGCGGCGGGTGGGGGCCATAGTGAGAAT